GGGAACACAAGCAGGGGGAGAGGGAGAGGGAGAAGCAGGGGAGCCTGATGCGGGGCTCGATCCCATGACCCTGGGATCATGACCTGAGCTGAAGGCAGACGCTTAACGACTGAGCCACCCAGGCGCCCCCATACATATTTATGTCTTGCTTTATGTTACCCAAAGCACTGTCAGTTGTGCATAAATTCCCTAAACTAATGCAACAAGCAGACGGAATAAATTGTTCCATTTTAGGAAACCGAGGCACTGGGATTGGAGTAAAATACAGAGCAATTATTAGAACTCAGATTTTCTGAGCAATCGCTTCATAGCTTCACTATACATTTTCTGGCATTTTAATTCTTGAAAACTTGTGTTCATTGTCTAATTGATATGGTAGCTTTGTGTGAACACAACAATGTCTTATTTCTAGACAATGCCAGACAATAAGGTAATATAGTAGATTCTTTCTGAGTAGGATAAACACATATTCATACGTGATTTAGTTATTTTGTTTGGTTAATGCTTTCATTACCAGGATAATTGCTTTAACTTACTTTTTCTGGTTCTAGAGAGCTGGCTTTGATAATTAGCTATAAATAGTTTATAGTGTGTTGTGACATACTATCTGATGGCTTTTACAATACTAAGGCTTAAAATATCTGTTCTAAGAATTGGAGCCAAATTATTTTAGCAGAATTATTTTTCACTCAGTTGGGGTCTCATTAGAAATCCCTGCTGGATTTGGAATCTATGATGAATATGTGTTGTTGTTCCTGCCCTTAATGCTATAGGACTGCAAAGCTTTTTTTTTTTTTTTTAGAGACTCTTAGACTGCCCTTCACTTTTGTTGACGTCTGTGAATATATGCAGTGGGTGGCCCTGGAAAGCATGGTGGATTTGTCTAGCTCCAGGACTCACTCTGCTGTGTCGGAGAGTTTAGACACTTCACAATCTCACCGGACTTCACTTTACTTATGTCTGAGACTTGTGGACGAATGAACCCTCCAGTTCCTCTTCCATTGCTCATATTCTGGTAATGGGGAATATCAAGATTTTATTCTCTTAGAACTTCTGAGTCTTGGGTACCAAGCCTGGGGGCTTGAGCTTTGCGTTATTTCTGAGCATTCTCCCAGTAGTGGATTCAGGATGGCTTTTCTGGATGGGGCTGGTGGTAGTAGTTTTCTGAGCTCAGTCTAACCTACAGTCTTCTGGGTCTAGATGTAGAAGCACTTCTCAGAAATGCTGCGGTATCTTCTCTTCTATTCTGAAGTGAGTGTGTGAGGCCAGGAGGAAGTGACTCTCCCAACCTCTCCTCCCACGGCTGGGCCCTGGGGTCTCTGAGTAAGTCCTGCCTTTGAGCAGTAGCCTTTGAGGTACTGAGTGGCTGCCAGGCAGTTACTTCCAGATAAATGACCTTTTCCCCCTTTTACACTATTTTGGCATCATCTGCACAAAAATAGCATCTATGCCTTTATTTTCAAGCTTCAAAGCTTGCTTGAAAAACAAAGGTTTGTTTTCTCGTGAAATCTGGAAGGCTGTTTGAACTTGTGTGTCGGAATGATTGGGCTTTTAAAAACGCCATTTGGGAGGGGCAGCTTCAGTCCCTATTTATGAAGCATCACTGTGGGCCCAGTCGGGTGTCAGGAAGAAAGCAGGCCGTTACCAGAAGAACAAGACCGGTTTCTTGGAGTAATTAATAGCTTTCGTTCCTTTTCCCTGACTGGAGCCTCCTGGCAGGAGCAGCCCGCGGGGAGGTGGGTAAGGCTGATGTTGATCCTATTTTCCAGAGGAAACTGAGGCTCAGCGGGGTTCGAGGACTCTGTCACGAAGGGAGGTGGCCGAGCTGGGTCCCAGCTGCAGGCTCCCTGCCTCGCGTGGCTGGCACGCGTCGTGGCACTGGGCACACAGGCCCATGAAAGTACCTGGTCACAGGCCCCGGTGGTGTGGAGACGCAGGCAGGGGGCAGGCCCGGGAACGATGTGAAGCACTGAGGGAAGATGTGGGGCCTGTTGGAGAGCAGATGGAGAGCGCCAACGAGGCGGGAAGCCCCGGGCCTGTCTTAGGGGGCGCACAGTTGTGTTGGCCGAGTGACAGTGGAAGCCACTGGTTTTTCTCGCTGTGTCTCCGGAGTTCCTACCTCCTGGGCTAGTTCTGTACAGTTAGCATTCCCTCATCCGTGTATCTGTTGGCTCCATGTCGTCTCCGGCCATTTGCTGTTTTTCTGTTGTAAAGATGACTAAGTCTTGGGGCGCCTGGGTGGCTCAGATGGTTGGGCATCTGCCTTCGGCTCAGGTCATGATCCCGGGGTCCTGGGATCAAGCCCCACATCGGGCTCCTGGCTCAGCAGGGAGTCTGCTGCTCCCTCTCCCTCTGCCTCTCTCCCTGCTCATGCTCTCTCTCTCTCTCTCTCTCTCTCTCTCTCTCTCTCTCAGTATCTGGGTCTCAAATGAGTAAATAAAATCTTAAAAAAAAAAGATGACTAAGTCTTAAGAGGAGATTATCTGACAGTTTGCTCAAAAGACAGGAGTGAAATAACACGTTGGCATCGGTCTGGTCTCTGTGGTTCTGCAGGGTTTCCTCTCCTGGCGGACTTCCCACATTGGCCAGGGGGAAGCGAGGAACCCACATAAGAAGCCCGTTCATTCATTCCCTTGGGCCCGAACATTCCTTCAGGACTTTCTCTTTCGAGCTCTCCTAGCCGCTTTGAGATGGGCAGGGCTCCCTTGGCTGATCCTGTAACTCCGCTGAGGAGTGTTCGGGGTGAGGCCCGGGCTGTGTCACCAAGCGATCCCCTGTCCCGCAGGACCGTCTGGCAGGACTTCCATTTGGCTCATGTCTTCTTGTCACCAGGCAGTCCTAGCGACGACCGAAGCCCCTCTGGAGTGCTTCTCAAATGGCCAGAGGTCCACTCCGATTTCCTATTTCTGAAGAATGCCCACCTTATCATGTTCCTTGACCATCCAAATTGTTCTGAAGCAGTTTTCAGTATCAGTGGCATTTCGAGTAGATTTTATTTTCTGTTCCACCGTCTACATGTTGATAGATGTAAGGGACATTTCTTGAGATATGAGCAGATGTCGAGTGAGCCCTTGCATTGTGAGTTCTGTGGATGCTCAAAACCGTAGCCCTTCCCCAGTCGCTCCTGGTCTCTTGGCCCGGGGAGGGGGGGGGGGAGGAGGGCGTTGCAGACAGACACGTTACAGAAGGCAGTGCAAAAACAGTGTGGATGTACGGAAGAGAGAACACCCAACCTTTTTGCAAGGTCTGGGATATCTTGAGCTTTACTGCCATTTCATTGGTTGTTATTTGGACGGGGAGATTGGGAGTGGACATCTGTCCATCTTCATTCCACAGTCCAATTTGGGGTTCGGTAGAGCCGAGTCTGGGTCTTGTTTCTGCCACTACTGCCCAGTGCGCTCCGTTGGGAGTTGACAGGAGTCACTGGGGAGGTGGCCGGGAGGACAACAGACCCAATGAAATCCATTTGAGAAATCCTACTAACCAGTTTCCTACTGGAGGATTTTCCAGAGCTTCTAACATGCTAATACATGCTGCTGTCTCTGGAAGAGGCTCTAGTACGCAGTTCCTGAGACTTAATTTGGATTTCTTTTTTTTTTTTTTTTTTTAAGATTTCATTTATTCATTTGAGACACAGAGATAGAGAGAGAG